CCCCAGAGATCAGGGTGATCCCTGATCTCCCTTCCTTCCGCCGCGCCCTCAAGACATGGCTATTCCAACAAGCGGGACTGGCCTAGGGCAATTTTTAAGAGGGGTTTTTAATCATATTTTAATCAGACAATTTAAATATTTCATTTTAATTAATTTTAATTTTGTAATTGTTATTGGTGTTTTTAATCGATTGTCAGCCGCCCTGAGTCCGCAAGGAGAAGGGCGGGATATAAATTCGAATAATAAATAAATAAATAAAAATAAAAACCATGGGGGGGGAGTCACAAGCAAATAATGGATAAAAGATACTCTGATTTATAATAAACTGTGTAGCCTTATTTATGCATCTCTGAATAAGTAGCTTAATTAGGTCACATATAGATCCAATACAACACACAGAAAATAAATGTTACATATGTCATCCTCCTTGTATTAGTGACAATAGCAAAATTCAATAGCATCTTTATTATTATTATTGCAAACCATGTAAAAAAATGTACTTATGAGTGCTATATAAACAGTTAAAAGTCAGCTTGCGAGGGCTGGATACACTCTACCCATTCTTGCATGACTAAAAGGAACAAATTGGCTATTTAAGGGGAGAAACACAAAAACGTACGTTTTTGCTTTGGAAGAATTGGGTTTCATTGTAAAACAAAACAACAATTCCAGGAAATATATCCTTTAATGACTATAGAGAAGGCATCAGTGACCCATGTCTTGATAATATAAGAAATGATATATTTTTAAAGATTTTAAGAAGAATAAAAATCTAATTATTTTACAGTCCCTAGTGACCTGAGTCTTTTGAGAAGCCAAAATGAGTGATAAGCATTTGAACTAACAACAACTTTCCATTTTAGGTGAAAATGTTATGCCGCTGTAGGTATAGCCATACCGTAGTTTTCTCTCTGCTAGCCGAAAAACAGCTGTATGTTATTCTGTATAATACAATTGCTACATCAGGAATTCAAGTTTGCTGGGGTGGAGGAGAGGGACAACATTTTAGCAGGCAGAAATACAGAATGGCTAATACAGAATGTTGATTTGACAAATCATTGGAGAGGTATCTGATACACCAAAACGTCCATTAAATTGCAAACTGTATCATTTTGCAGCAATTCATTTCATTTTCATAATGATGCAAATAATGTAATTTGCATAAGGGTATCATACATTTATGCAAATTATGCCTTCTTCACAGAGATATCATCATGCAAATAATGAAACAAACTCCATGAATTAAAACAAATGTACCATATTTTCCGGCGTATAAGACGACTTTCTAAACCCTGAAAATCTTCTCAAAAGTCGGGGGTCGTCTTATACGCCCAGTCGTCTTATACACCGGAAAATACGGGTATTCTATTTTATTCCTTTACACATGTGGTTTGGCATATTACTCATCAAGTTTTCTCTCCCCCCCCCCCTCGCTCAAACTCTATATTTTAACTGGAAAAGTTGGGGGTCGTCTTATACGCCCAATCATCTTATACGCCGGAAAATACGGTAATTGGTTGGTGCAGACTACTTCAGATGCAACAGACTTTGTTATTTCAGGAGGATGTCCAGACAGGAATTTATATCCCAAGTCTGCTAAATGGAGGCCTATGAAATCAAGGTTTTACTGTATTTAGTTAATGGGCTCGATACAAACTTGTTCTTCAGAACATTTGAATAGGTGAAATTCATTTCATGGGGTTAAAGAGAAAATTTTGTTATTCTATTTTTAACAACATATTTAATTTTTCCTAGGTCCCAAAACAAGTTTGTGCATCCAGCCATTATACATAATCAAATGCAATATAAATCAATAACATGCAACTAGATATTATTTTGAATATTTAACTATAGGATTTGTACGTCTGTTAAGTCTAAAAATCGTTTGGCAATACAGATGATGACCTGTACAGCAATAGAAAATGAAGGGGGTTTATATGTTTGCTTTTTTTTCTTAAAAATATCACTTAATACTTTTCTCTTGTATTCAACCCTCTCAAACAGGACAATTGTTTTTTTATTAGACCAAACTATTCTTTCATTGTAGCATTTAATTTTTTTGTTATTCTTTTCCTTAAGTTTTATTGCAATATTGTAAAATAATTACATCTGGCTTTCAAAAGGTTCAAATTGACCACAAGAGGGAGTTTCTCCTATTGTATTTAACTAACCAGTAAAAATTATATTAAATAAGCGTAACTTTTCTCATTTTAGATGTCCAAAAAGTTTAGCATTCAACATACGATCGTGATCTGTGCCTGGAACGCCGATTGGTGGGTTCAGTTTGGTTTTTTTCTTTTTGTCTCCTCAGCACTGCTTCCCACTGAGGAGCTGAATCAACCATGTCA